AAAAAAACAAAAAAAAAACGAAAAATTACACTAAATACAATTGCTATGGGTCTTTCTCGACTTTATTTAGGCCTAAAAATACGCATGGTGCAGTTCGTTCAAAAGTCATATGCTTATCACATTGTGTACACGCATTAAAACGTTTCTGAATATTCAGCTAAGTTTGCCTTTATTATAATTTTAAATTTACTTTACTTTGCAATAACTTAGCTTCCGTTAGTTTCATGCCCCCCCCCCAGTGGCACAGCGGTATATCTGCGGACTTACAACGCTAGAATCCGGGCTTCGATACCCGTGTTGGGCAGAGCACAGATAGCCCTTGTGTAGCTTTGTTCATAATTAAAAACAAACAAACAAACAGTTTCATGGGTTGCTATAAACACCTTTAAGTTACTTTTTTCTTTTAGAACGGATTTTAGTCTGTTTTTTCGTGAGTTTCTTTGTTTCATCTCGTAAAACCGTGTCTTATTATAAATTATAAATACCATTACTACGCTTTATTGTTCACTTTAGATGCTGTTTTATTAAATAAAGTTACGTACGTGTAGTTATATTAAATAAAGTTACGTCTACGTAACTCATCGATCTAACACGTAATGCCTGCAGAAAAGCGTAGTTTAAATGTCGTGCGAGTAAATAATAGAATAAGGAAATTCAAGCAACGGGCATGAAAACTTCCGCAAATATTTTGTGGGTTACGGCTAGTAATATCCAACCGATATAAAAAGCCAGTGTGTGTCACGTCACGCTTGATTTCTCGAAATAGGAGGAGTCATAAAAGCAAAAATGCATTTAACCGGATAGAATAGTTTGATTATTGTCTACCCATTACTATATTAGTGACGGGAGCGCAACAAAGGTTCCGTGAAACCTTGTATGTGTATAGAGTGTTGGTATAATAAGCCTAAAGTGAGGGAGTCGTGTGGGATCACCTAGCCTAGAGTCAAGTGCATAAAATGTATTATGTAAGTAAAAATATCGATTCAATTTTAAACTTAAATTGTTTCTGGAATTAAGCTATTTTCTGTTATATCGCTAACGTTTTTAATAAGAAAAAACTCTTTAATCAACGTAGACTCTAAAATCTAAATTAAGAAATCAACACGGTTTTGTTGTCTATACATTTCATTTTATACTTTCAGTATATAGACTAACAACAATATTAGGTTACATTTTTGTTGCTAAGCAACATGGCATAAAAACCACTGTTGGAATGTAGTGTTATCAAAACGCACTGGCTTTTCAATATATTAGAAGTTGTTAATCTAACTAATTTTTACAAATAATTATTCCATGAATACGCCACGAATTCATTTCATAAATGATCTTAATTTTGTTTGGCTTACAAAGGAACTTACACGTTTGACTGCCTCGACTGCACTTTTTGTCTCTTTGTTGTCCAAGCTTGATTTCGCAAAAATTATTTATTTCAGTTAGTAATGAAATGTGAGTTTAATGTATTGTTAC